ACGGCACAACTCATAGCCTTTGAGTGGGTCTTAACGAAGGCGCTGCCCTCCAGCGAGGCTTCGTTCGCTTAGGGTGTCCGTGAACGTCGCCCAACCGGCAGATGAACTGTCCACCATCCTGCGTCGGTTCTGGGAAATGGAGGAGTTCCCAGAGAAGCCGATCCTGACCCCGGACGGGGAGTGGACCGAAAACCACTTTCAGGAAACCCACTCCCGGGACACGACCGGAAGTATGTCGTTCGCCTCCAACGGATGCAACGTCGTGTATCGCAACTTGGAGACTCGCGTGCGGCGGCGCTCTCTATGCTACTGAGCTCGGAGCGTCATATGACCAAGCAGTGCGATCTGCGGAAGCGATATACGGCCTTCATGGTAGAATATCTTGCTCTGGGCACATGGATCCGATCCCAGTCGGAACCCCCAGCTCCGCTACTACTTACTACCTGCCGCATCTCGCGGTGTTCAAGGCCGGAGACGTAGCCGGGAAAAAAAACGCATGGTCTTTAACGCATCTTGTCGTATGTCCTCCGGTTATTCATTAAACGGTTGTTTGTTGCCAGGGCCGAGACTGCAGATCGACTTATGGCTGGTCTTGTCACGGTGGAGAGGGCTGCGGGTGGTCTTCATCGCCGATATCGTTAAAATGTTCAGGCAGATTCTGGTTCACCCCGAGGTCGTGGATTTGCAGCGGATACTCTGGCGCGCCGACCCCGCCGAGGAGATCCGAGAATTCCGTCTGCAAACCGTGACTTACGGAACGAGCTCTGCTCCCTTCTTAGCACTACGGACCCTGCAGCAGCTCGCACGCGATGAGGCCGCTCGCTTCTCGCTGGGCGCAGCTGCCCTAATGCGCCACTCTTATGTGGATGATATCTTAGCGGGAGCGGACGATCTGGACACGGCGAGAGAGGTTCAACAGCAACTAGTGGCGCTCCTGCAGGCGGATTCGCTCTGGGCAAATGGGCATCCAATGCTCGGACTCTCTGCCCTCAGGCGCAGACCAGGGAAACCGCGCTTCCGGCGTTCGATGTCGTGAGCGCTCTAGGCATTGTGTGGGACCCTTTGACGGACACGCTGTCGGTCAGGCCGCATTGGCATCATCCGGGTTGATTACCAAGAGAACAGTCCTGTCCGAGGCAGCCCGGCTGTTTGACCCTTTAGGTTGGATCGCACTGGTTTTGATCTTCGCCAAGGTCTTTCTTCAGGATCTTTGGTTGGCCGGCTGTGGATGGGATGACATCCTTACACCCAAACTGGCAGCGTCCTGGAGACGTTTCCGTGAATTACTATCCGGATTTGAGACGGTGAGGCTGCCCCGCTAGCTTGGCACGCTCTTGGAAGACGATGTCGAGCTACATGGCTTCTCGGACGCATCGGAGAGGGCATACGCGGCAGTGGTCTATGCGCGGGTTACCAAACGGGACGGCCGCGTCTTGGTGAGCCTCTTAACAGCCAGAACCAAGGTGATCCCGGTCAAGGCCCAGAGCGTGCCACGCCTGGAGCTGTGCGGCGCGATTCTCTTGGCCAGATTGCTGGATCGGCTGGTGCGAGGGCTTGGCCAGGGGGCAATACCCGTTGTCGCGTGAATGGATGCGCAGGTGGTCTTATGCTGGCTGCGAGGACACGCCTCGCGATAGAAGCCCTTTGTGGCTCATCGGGTGGCCGAAGTGCAGGGGCTGGTGCCTGGCGATAGATGGAGATACGTGCCCACCAAGTCCAACCTGGCGGACCTTGCAACCAGAGGAGTTCAGATCTCGGAGCTCGGGGGGCTGGATCTATGGTGAAGCGGGCCGAAATGGCTACGAGAACCATCGACCCACTGGCTTAAATCGGGCGGTCGAGACATGTGATGTCGGTCCATCTGATCGCCGGAGAGGCTGTCGAAAGTCCGCTCGAGGAGCTATTCTTTTCCCTGTCTCGCTTCGTGCGAGTATTGGCCTACTGTTGCAGGTTCTTCCAGAGGATCCGAGGGGGGGCCCCATGTAACGGATTTCTCACCGTCATGGAGCTAAGGGCCTCCCTCGCAAGGGCGGTACGACAGGTGCAGAGACGGGAGTTCGAGGAGATATTGACATTAGAAGCCGGGAGGCCGCTGTCGACCTCTTCCCGACTGCGTTCGCTGAGCCCGTTTGTGGATAAGGACGGGACGCTACGAGTGGGAGGCCGAATCCAAGCAGCCCAGCTGTCGTACCAGGAGAGACATCCCCTCATTCTCCCGAAGGGCGGCCACTTCACGCTACTGCTCATTCGAGACGCTCACCTTGCGATGCTGCACGGAAGACCGCAACTTATGCAGAGCTTCCTGCTCCGTAAGTACTGGATAACAGGGTTAGCCACCCGGGTTCGTAAGGTGGTTCGAGAGTGCACCCGTTGCACTCGGTTCCGCATGGAGGTGGGACAGCAGCAAATGGGGAGACTCCCCCCGGAACGTTGTTCCCGGCAAGACCTTTTGAGTCAGCCGAAGTCGACTATGCCGGACCTATCCGGATACATGCACAGAAGGGAAGGGGACATGCTTCCCATAAGGGTTATATATTCCTGTTTGTTTGTCTAGTGTCCAAGGCCGTCCACCTGGAAACAGTGTTGGACCTGTCGACTCAAGCCTTTCTTGCTGCTTTTCGACGGTTCGTGGCTCGCCGAGGGCGCTGTCTCCGCCTCCGCAGCGACAATGCCACCAACTTCAGAGAAACGGACGCGGAGTTGAAGAAGATGTTTAGAGCAGCATCGAAATTCTACGAGGGAGTGGGCGAGTCCTTAGCAAACGATGGAACTGAATGGAAGTTCATTCCTCCGCAAGCGCCGCACTTCAGCGGTCTCTGGGAGGCCGGAGTCCGCTCGGTGAATCACCACCTCCGACGCATCCTTGGTGATCAGACCTTGACATTTGAGGAGCTAACCACACTTCTGTGCCAGATTGAGGCTTGCCTCAATTCGCGACCGCTGTATCCAATGAGCCCCGAGGCATCCGACCTGGTCGCGTTGACTCTGGGCCATTTTCTGATCGGGGAGCCCCTGTGCAATCTGCCAGAGGCCCCGGAGCCGGACGCGCCCTCCAGCCCGCTGGCACGATAAAGATTAATCTCCGCTATGAGAGAGTCGTTTTGGCGACGATGGACGAGAGAATACCTACACACTATGCAGCAATGTTCGAAGTGGACTTCTAAACGGCCGATCTCTTACCTGGGATGATGGTACTCATTAAGGACGAACTGTTACCCCCTGCGAGATGGCCGTTAGGGCGCATCACGCAAGTCATTCGAGGACCCGATGGCAGCGTCAGGGTGGCGAATGTGCGTACGGCGACCTCGGAGTTCAGGCTATCGCGAAACTGTCCCTGTTGCCTGTCCCCCCAAGGGAGAATACAGACCTAGCGGAATAGGGACGGCCCCGTATTGTATGTACAATACGAGGAAAACCATGGGTCAACGCCGATGCTCAATACCATTGTTTTTCTTCTAGCTGTATATCTTTATATCTTATATGACTGCTATATCTACATTTCATGCATATCTACATTATTTTCACTTTGTGGCTTGACTTGGGCGAGTTCTGCACGGTGGGCGGCGGGCTCCCTGCAACTTACATTTCGTCTTTTCGACGAGACGGGCGGAATGTTTGGCATTTACGTCGACGCGCCTGGAAGAGGCGGCCGGTGAACTTGTTTGCGCGCTGTTTTGAACTGCGCCCACGCGGCTCCCCCGTGACTCCGCGGGAATTCGGTGGATCGAGGAGCTGATCACGCGGAGTTCGGGAGAGAGGGGCGGCGACCAAAACCCAAAGAGACCAGTTGTTCGACAAGCACGCGGAGAGAATAGTCGAACCGCGGAGATCTATTCTCCGTCTATTCTCCTCGCCGCTACGATTGAAAATAAAGACGCTTTTTCAGAAACACTTGTACCAAAGTTTTCTCTAGCCTACCGCGCGTCGAAATCCAAATCTCGACAAGTTCGAGATTGAACTATACGCGAAACAATATTAAATAAACGTTTAAAAAATGTATAATGAAATAATTTTCTTAAACGTAAAATTAATGACAAATAAATATTTAGAAAATATTAAATAAACGTTTAAAAAATGTAAACCGAAATCATTTTTTAAACGTAAAATTAATGACAAATAAATATTTAGGAAATATTAAATAAACGTTTAAAAAATATATACTGAAATCATTATTTTAAATGTAAAATTAATATTAAATAAATATTTTAAAAATATTAAATAATCGTTTAAAAATGTATACTCAAATTATTATTTTAAATGTAAAATCAACGTTAAATAAATATTTAAAAAATATTAAATAAACGTTTAAAAAACGTTTTTTAGAAAACGTTTCATTATTCTAAACGAATATTTAATAAAAAAAATATTAAATAAATGTTAAATAAATATTTTTTCCAAAATGAGTTTAGGAAATGAAAAAAAAACATTTAAAAAACATTAAAGAAACATTTAAAAAATATTGTGTGCTGATTGGGTAGTGACCATAAGTATAAACCATCCTTATAAATTGATATAAGCATTCAATATCTACGAAATATAAATTTAAAAATAGTAGACATATATTTTTATAATGATTTTAATATTTTGTTGGTCCTTTTTTATCATTACCTTTCCATAATTTGAGAGTACTTTATACTTATGGTTAAGACTGTACTAAGTATGAGATAAAAGAATTTTATAATGTATGTAAACTCGTGCTCTCAGTTGACGTGACATTTGATATCACTTTTATAGCAAAAATAGATTAAAACAACGTTATATTTTGCCCAATAAATATTTGATAGCTATTTTGATAGGCGCTAATACTTGGCGGTCTTTTTTTATTTATTTTTAAAAGATAACTTTTATAGATATTATATATATATTACAGATATAAATATAAATATAAATAAGATGATATCACATTTTGTAAAACATATCGAGTGACTCATGAGCATAAATATGTTGACTTTTTGTGATATAACCCGTAGTATTAAGATATAAACCGTAAAAGATATCCCTGGTAAAAAAAAACGATAGAAAACGATTTAAAAAATCGTATCGTTTTGAATCAGATTTCTTAATTCCGGATTTCCCAATTGGGTATAGGGTATTGACGATAGACGGTATATTGATTATAATCTGCATTAATAGATACGTTTTCAATGAGGTTGTATGTGAAATATCGCATATAAAAAAGATCGGAAGAGCACACG